AAAATTAATTTAAAATTTGTAATTGACACACAACGAACCTACATACGTATGGGGTACAGTGTGAAGTTTCAGTGCATGTGTCCATTGTATAATTGATCCAGAGACCCGCGAATGTCGGTCCATATTGCCACAGCCCCTAGAGAAGAGCATAGCAAGGACGCAATATTCCTGAGAACTAATAAAAAGTGCACTTCCCCTTATCTCTTTTGCGCTCCCGGTAGTCTACACTCCATCAACCGAAAGATGCAAATCTCCTTTAATTCCTTTTTTCTGAATGGTTATAAGTTTGAATAATATAGAATCGGTGTAATTGTAAGCCTGGTGATTGTCTCACTTTTGTGTAATGCTTGATGTCTCAGGTCTGGTCTGGATCAAAAAATGTTACTATGATCCATGTGACCGATCTCAAGTTCTATACAATGCTCTGGCGGTCACGTGACTAACGTACTAACAACTCTGGACTGATAAAAGTGAACTGTAAAAACCTGGAGGGTGAACAGAACCATTTTAGAAAGACCTCAAGTCTGGCTGTGCTCCCTGGATTCGAAGTCATACATGCACTTCTTTCCACCAGGTCCCTGCCCTCTTGATTTATTGGTATCAAGGGGAGCAGTTGAGCATTACTCAGACCATAATACAATGACCAAATCAAGATGAGTCCATATCCACCACTTTGAACATTCACTATTCTTTGTGGTGATAACATTTAAAAACTTCTCTCCTGGCTATCTTGGAACATTCAGGACATCGTTATTTGCCAGGGTCACCATACAGTGCCATAGCACACCTGAATTCACGCTCCTCTAATCGCAAACTAGTACACACACTGACCAACCTCTCCCCTGCCCCACAGGCGCTGATAGGCAGTCACCCTTTCACTCCCCGTCCCATCTCCTTCCCAGCACTTCCTGGGCAACTCTCAGCCTCTTGACCTCTCCTGGCTGGCCCAGGTCCTTCTCCTGCCTCCCTCCAGCATGCTTTTTCTCTTGACCTTTCTAAGAAGTCTCACCGAGAAAATCTCCATAAGATGCAAATTTAGCCACCCAACCACAGAATGTTCACATGAAAACTGGCCTCCTGCAGGGTAGATGCTCTGACGACTTTCCTTCTGTTTCGTTAATAAATGGAACAGAAGTCAGAAGCAAGAGGCCTCGTCCACTGGAGGTTAAAGAGTAGCCGCAAGGGCAGGGGTGGGTTGGTGTGGCCTCAGCACAGGGGATGCCCAGAAGATCCCACCTTCCTCTGCAGTCCCTAGTCCTCTCCGCACTCCCGTCCCATCTTCCAGCGCAGTGGGCAAAACTTGCACCACACAGGAACAAACTGGGAGCCTCAGCAGTACCAGACCCTGCCAGTGTTGGTTTGTTTTTGCAGCAAATCTAAATGATCAGCTATCACTTCTGTGAAAGTTTAACATTCAGATTGGACAATTCCTCTCACACCCAACTCCATAAGAGTGGAGAAGGCAGGGGAAAAAACACTCAGGACACGCAACATTGTTCTAGGAATGCAGTTCTCTGCAGGTCCAGCTGCCGACACTGGCGGTCGTCACCTAAAAACACTTTTGTTTTCTTTGAGTTGGAGTCTCGCTCTGTCGCCCAGACTGGAGTGCAGTGGCCGCTGCCGGCCACCGCAGCCTCGACTGCTGGTCTCCGGCGATCCTTCCGCCTCAGACTTCCGCGTAGCCGGAATTACAGGCGCGCGCTACCACGCCCGACTGATTTTTTGATTTATCGTAGAGATGAGGTCTCGCCCCCCAGGCGGGTCTCGAACCCACGGGCTCAGGCCATCCACTCCCCTCAGCCTCCCAAAGCGCGGGATGACAGGCTGAGCCGCCGAGCCGGCTGCTTCCAGGATTCTGAGTGTGGAGACAACGTGGCCAGGGTGGTGCCACTTTACGTTCGAGAGAAAAAGATCCAGAATTTGGCTGATGTCAGAAACAGAGAGAGTCAATCACACGTTGGTGAAAAAGCCTGAAGCTTCCGTTAGGTGTCTATTCTTTGGTTGGTGTTCCGGTAATGAAGTAGAAAGCACATCCACACCATGCATTCTAAGGCTGGAGCTTCATCCAGGTCTCAGGTGACATATATGCACACCACTGGAGCCTCCCTGCTGTGGCTGACACTGTCACAAGGAGCCCCGAGTAAAAGCAAGGCTTTCTAGTGCGCAGTTGGGTACGGTTTATTTTCTCCATACATCATATGCTCTACTTTATGTACCCATATGCAGAGCCGCAAGTTTCCCTTCCACTGTTTGGCTACAGTCAGTTATGCAGCTAAAACGACAACACGGTAATGAAACACCAGACTGCGGTACACAGCAGACGCTGGAAACTCTCCCCTGCCCTTGTCAACACGAGCTGACCCGCCGTGTGTGACCTCTGACTTCCAGGATCGCCCCTTGGGTGCTGGGACCCTAGTAGGCCTCTCTGGGGTGGTCTCTAGGGGCAGAGCCTGGTGTCCCTCTCCACGCGCTGCCTGGAGCACAGCAAAGCAAAGAAGTCGCAGGAGAGGCTGCGATCTGGGGTGAGACTCGAGCCCTCAGAAAGGTGCAAGCTCAGCAGTGCGTGGTGGCGCCTGCCTGTCGCCATCCCAGCACTTTGGGAGGCTTAGAAGGGAGGGCTGCTTGAAGCCAGAAGTTGAAGACTAGGCTGGGAAACACTGCACGATTCTTTCTCTACCAAATAATTTAAGAACTCGTTGGGTGTGGTGATGTGTACCTGCAGTCCCCAGTACTCAGGAGGCTAAGGCCAAAGGATATGCTGAGCCCAGGAGATCCAGGATTCCGTGAGCCATGATAGCACCCCGCTGCACTCTAGCCTGGGCGATGGAAGGAGACCCTGTCTCTAGTAAAATAAAATAAAATAAAATAAAAGTGCCAGCTCAACCCACGCCCAAAGAGGTCTTTATCTTTCCAAATCTTCTTGGCAAATGGTTCTTTCCTAGTCAAACGATACAGATCCGAATTGGACGTATCTTGCGTTTGCTTTTTTGGTGAATGGGAAGACCAGGCCAGAAAACCATGACTGAGCCTCTCCCTGAGCCCAGGTCCCTGTCCTTTGGCAAGGCTTGAGTGTGGGACACGAACACCATGAGTGTAAAGCATCATCTCAGCAGCAGGAACAGCCAGGAAGGGGGATTCACAGGAACCGGGCTAGGGAAGGCGCAACGTTCCGGTGCGGGCAGCCAGGGCTGGGCCTTCCCTGGCTTGTGGCGGTGTCGGCGGCAGCCAGCGGTGTGGCCTGTGGGTGCTATCCAGGGCCATGGCCCTGACGCCTGCCAGGCCTTCCCTATCTCCATTTCTGTTTTAACAGATATTAAAAACAGAAAATAACAGTGTTGGAGAGGGGAACGGGCGACATGTACAATGGCAGGCATCTGAACTCATTCTGCTTGAAATGTAGAAACAAGAAAGGGCAGACACGAGCATTCCCCAGGGCAGATTTTTTAATGTAGCCACGGCTCCCATATTCCACTTCTGATGTGGTATCGCATTTGTGTGTCACTCAGGTGCTCACGCCTACCACACACACTCACACTCAGTTTCGGCCAGCACGCTGGGAGCTGGCAGTGCCCGCTGCTGTCTTGAGCCAGGCTCCCGCTGGACCCGGGCTCCCTCCCCGGGCTGGCTTCCCCGCCTGGCTGCCTTCGTGGGCCAGAAGCCACTTCTTCACGGCCGGTCCCCCGGTGTAGTTGCCCACAGCTCCGCTGCTGCAGACCACTCGATGGCATGGGATGAGGATGGGCACCTGAAAAACAGAGAGGCAGCCGCCATCAGTCAGGGATCGGACCCACAAGGCCGTGCGGGGGCAAGGGCAAGGCGCTGATCATGATGGAGCCATTGCCCGCCAAGCAGGGGCTCTGTCTCAGCATCAATTCCCCCTCGCCCAAGGCCCTCGTGTCTCTGGGGGTCCTGGCATGGGCTGTCGGAGGGACACATAGCCCGAGGTGAACATGGGGCACCTTTCCGAGAATCCCTTTACACCAAGACTTGGGTGACTTACAATGTCCACTTAAAAACCTGAAAATGACATTTCCAAGTTCTAGATGGTACGTGATATTCTCAGACATTCCCTAGATGCCACAGGGAGCTTCAGAGAAGGCCATACTGGCACAGGCCATTCCAGCCCATGGCTGGGCGATGACGGCTATGGGCCCAAGGTGACCCACCACCTGTTTTGTAAGTAAAGCTGGATCGGAGCCATGCCTTTTGCTGCACACTGCCTGCGGCTGCTTTGCCAGTGCCTGATGTATTGACTCTCTGGCCCTCTTTGAAGAAAGTTTGCCTCACACTGTGCCCCATGACTTGGGATGTGTTTTCCTCCCTAGCCTTCTGGGTACTTGGAGGAGTCTGCGAAGCCCCCTCTGCCACCTCCGCCCGGGGTAGGGCACGGCCAGCGCTCTCACACAAGCCCAGAGAGGGCCCAGACCCAGCGCCCCTCCCACAAGGTGTTGCGGCCTCCCGCTCAGGCGGTCAGAGGAGACACAGCAGTGGTCAAGCCAGTCACCCTGAGAGTGGGGCGAGTACACGCTTGTCTTGAACGAGCAGGGAGACTTCACTAAAAGCGAGGCCACTTTACAGTGAAAACAGGCCCACGCCCAATCACGTGAAGAGGAGACAAGGCACTGTCTCAGGGGTTCCACTGTCGGAGCGGCAGTGATGGCAGTCAAGGTGCCAGTGTACCTGGGCTGGGTTTCTCCATATCCATCCAGACTCACCTGCAGCTCCAAAGGTGCCACACCTGGCCCGGAGGTGAGCCAGAGCTGGCGCACGGCCTCAAATGACCGAGGGCACCATTCCAGAGCGCTCCAAATCATGAGCAATGCTTCCTACTTGGCTCTGTGCCCACCAGGCCAGGGCTCTGGTCTCGGTCTCCTGGGCCTCTGGCAGCACCCTGTCCATTATTTCCTAGCCTGGAGCTGGCACCATCCGGATCCGTGGCTACGTGATGTTCAGACCCAAGACTGGATGCCACATGCTCACAGGTGCAGATCCCAGAGGCAGGGTCACACTCAGTGGCTCTGCGATGACCCCCACAGCCCCACAGAGTCTGTCTTCAATTTCCTCCTCGTGGCCACTCCCGCCAGGAGAAGGGAATCTCTTCCTCAGCACAGTCCTAAGGGAAACTCCACCTTGGTCTTTCTGCATTGCCTGGGCTAGACAGGAGGAGCTCCGTGGGTCCACTGTCGGGCGGAGGCTCTGACAGTCACCTGTGGTAGCTGGGGGCCGCTGCTGCTGCCTGTGGCTCTAGCTTCCACGTGGGGGGCACCCTGGCCTCACTGCACAGGGTGTCTGGCCCACGGCACAGGGTGCCCTGATCTCTTCTGAGAGGCAGTCTGTGCCCACCCTGGCCGGGCAGGCCTGACTCAGCCGGCAAGGCCAACCACAGGGGAGTCTGATTCTGGCGGGACTCACTGGGACACCACCATGGCCACGCCCATGGCCACTCCCCCAATTCTGCTCTTATCCCAATAAAGCTAAAATTTCGACATCCTCTCTCTCAGTGGTCCCCAACCTTTTTGGGATCAGGGACCAGTTCTGTGGGAGACAATTTTTCCACGGACCAGGGTAGGTGGATGGTTTGGGGATGATTCAAGCACATAGCACTGTTTTATTTATATTATTATTACATTGCAATACATAATGAAATAATTATACAACTCATCATTAAAAAAAGAGGTGCAGATGGGAGTGGTAAATAAAAAGATAAGTGGACCGCATGCAGACGAAAACAAGTGTTGGATTCTGACTTAAAGCCTGCTACCAGATGTAGCAGTACATCAACTCACTTGCCACTCATGGAGAGGATTTTGATGGGAGTCTGTAAGCAACAGATTATGGTCTCTGTGCAGTCAGATCTCACTGCTGATGTCAATCTAGACAGTGCTAGCATCACCGTCTGAGCTCCACCTCAGATCATCAGGCATTAAAGTCTCATGAGGAGGGTGCAACCCAGGTCCCTCATGCGCGCAGTTCATAACAGGGTTTGTGCTCCTATGAGAATCTAATGCCGCCGCTGATCTGACAGAAGGTGGGACTCAGGCAGTAATGTGAGTGATGTGGAGTGGCTGCAAAAACAGATGACGCTTCGCTTGCTTGCCTGCTGCTCACCTCCTGCTGTGCAACCCGGTTCCTAACAGACCACGATGGGCACCAGTCTGCGGCCTGGGGGTTGGGGACCCCTGCTCTGTTTCTCCGTCGGCTCAGAGCAGGTGGAAAAGACAAGGATGAGACTTAGGGGCATCTCCTCTGGTTGTCACCTTCTCCCTGGGCAGCCAGAGGAGACCGTTCAGCGCGTGCCAGGAGTGCCCACCTGGCAGCCGCCACACTCCAGGGGTGCACACCACGTGCCCACTCCAGGGTACCAGGGGCCATGAGTCCATTGGCTTAAGAATCTGTACAAGTAGTTCCTGAGCAGAGCTGCTCCAGAGGGACCCCCAAGAGAGTGTGCGAGGAAGCTCGGCCCAGCCCCACCTCCCCTAAGGAAAGACTCTGCCCAAGAGGCCCCAGGGCAAGGCTTCGTCGCTAACTAGCTCACAGTTCCTGGAGACCAGGGGTATGGGACACGGGGGCGGCCCATTTCACTGTGCAACGTGTCCCCGTGGTGGCTCCGTGGAGAATGTAAATGGCCAGTGAACACAGCGCAGGAACTGGCGGGGCTTGGGAGAGGTGGGGGAGAGCATGGAGTGCACTCTGGAAGGTTCTCAGCTGCTACGGCAAGGGAAGGCGCATGGAAGGGGCACAGGGACCCCTTGCTGCCTGGGCCCCTCCCGCTCTGCCTCCTGCATCTCCTTGAGAGCCGGCCGGCTTCTTCCTGCATCCCAGATACCCCAGACGTGAGGCTGCAGACCGGGCCCTGTCTCAGAACTCACACGCGTTGCCATGCTCCAAGCGTCCTGACGTGATGAGAGAACACAGCCATTTCTGCAGGCGCCGAGGGTGAGGCCTGTCCAGGACGCCCCCGGGCATCACTCCAACTCCACTCTTCCTTTCTCCTCTACTCACCCACTGCTCGACAGAGAAAAAATCTCCACGCCACTCCCCAGCCTCTAACACCCCCGAGCTCCACCCTCCAAAGAAAGTGACCTGGACAGAGTGACCAGCTACTGGCTCGATGAGCTTTCAGAGGAAGCAGCAGGCATGGGCACCTAGCATTTCCGAGCTCTGTGACGCAGGCACCTCTGCTTCCTGGAGTGGCAGTTCCTGCCCGCGTTATCACCTGAGGTCCACAGTGCAGGCAGCCACAGGGGTCGTGGGGAACAGGGTGCTTGAAGCCACTGGGAGGAGGCACACCCAGTGCTTGATGCTGCACTGTTCTATCCCATGCTATGGTGGCCCGTCACCCCCCTCCAGGCCTGTCAGCCTCATGCCACACGGAGTCCTGTGCTCTAGTTCCCACAGCTGCTAAGAGGCAAAGAAGGGGCCCAGCCACCACCCTCCTGTGGCTCCGTGGCCGCCTCTCCTTGACGTGGCCTGCTGAGGTGGGACCTTGTGGCACTGGCTGGCAGATGACAGGCTGCGGAGTGGGGCTCTGGCTCCCCGTACATCACGCAGTTGGTCCTGGTCTGACTAGGAGTTTGGGTCACCGTGGTGACGCGCACCAGTGACATGGCCTAAGAGGCTTCTGACGACACCTGGCCTGAGGACGGAAGGGTGGTGGGGAGCTGACTGTTTAACAGCGCCAAGAGCGCTATGTAGTCCTGCCAAGTCCGACAACAGTGGAGGATCCCAGTCATCTGGAAGGAGTAATAGACAATTCCAAGAATGGAATATGTACCCGGACTGAAGATTTTTATCAAGTGAAACAGTCACTAATAATGGCTATGAGGACATTCTTGGATAACACACAATTCACGTTTCTGACTGATAAAGTGGTCGACATTTATCAATCTAGTTTCACAAACATTTAGGCGCCAACTCAATTTTCTTACCTAACAGCAGATTGCACAATGGAGCTTTGATTTTTCTTCCTTCCCTTTCAATGCGCTATGGCCCCATAAAAAGGAGTGAAATAAACATGTCTCCATCTCCCTCTTTCTATATGTCAATGCAGGGGCCAGGACAGATCGCATGGAGCTGACAATGATCCTGACAGCTGTGACCAGCCTTCCTCTTACCATGGAGTAGGTGGCTTGCCATACAGGCCCCATCTTTACCAGTAGAAACAGTGAACGCTGCTTCTGTTTGTGGTAATTTTGGTGGCAGGTTTCAGATTATTAGAATAACGAAACCTGTTAAAATTTCCTGGGGCCCTAAGGACATTCTCCAAGGATCCATACCCTGTCTGCCCTCTCCCTTAAAGCCTGTGCTGCATAAAATGTAATTTTTATCAATAACCAAGAAGCTCATAATATCACAGCTGCATTGAAATCTTCATGCTGTGAAATCTAATTCATCCAATACACGAATCCATCACTTACCGCAGCCCCTTTCTCAAATGCTATAAAACTCCCAAACCCATAGATTTGTCTCCAACAAAAATAACATGAAGAGGCCTTTCAATCAATAATGGAATCCCTCTGATTCTGGTACCGGCTGAATATTTTTTCCAACTTCGCCTTTGTTCTTCTGGGTAGCAGCCCACAAGGGAAGGAGCTTGTTTTCACTCGCAGCCTCATCAATACCTAAATCCTGGTGAACAAGTGACACCGAGAAGCTGTAATCAATAGCTCCCTGAGCGTTTTTTTCTTCTGGTCAAATGGTTCAGCTCCACTGACAACCCTGACACTTAGAACATGATGCTAAATCTTTATCAACAGTCATCTGGGTGACTGGCAGAACAAGACTCGGGGGGTCATTAGCGCTCATGGCAATCTGTGAATAAACTAACTCCTCAGGAATGCGTTTGTTTAGAAAAAGGTGGGGAAACTCTCTGTGCAATGTATTGATTGCCTTTGAACTGCATTTAGCAAATTCTGTCTGAGGATGAAGAGGAAGAGAGCTTTGTGGAGGCGGAGGGCCACGAGGAGTTTTCGATCCGACATACTAGGGAACTAACCATCCTCTCCTGCTGGGTGGAAGAGATCCTTCCGGAAGGCTGTCCCACCATCTTAGTGAGTTCTTCCTGGAAAACTTTGGTGAAATCAAGCCCCCAGGATGGAGGAGGCTTCCACATCAGCCAGAACCATCCCTTCCCTCTTGTGGGGGAAGAGAAAGCCACGCCAACAGCAAATGCTGTAATATGAACCAGCATGTGTGCCTGGTTATCGCAAGCCACCTAAGGAATTAATGCACAGTGAGCTTTATGGTGCTTTGTAACACTCCAAATCCATTTTTTCTCTCTCCTCCCTCAAGTGCACAGTCGCTCTATTCAGCCTGAACATCAGGGATGCTTTCAGTGAGCACGCCTCCACAATACTCCACATGCAGTATCCATGCAGGCTGGGATACCACTGTCAGCGCCAACAGGAAACACCCTGAGGACATCACCATCAGTGATGGCCCGTTACCGGCCAGGTCCCCTTCCTCCCTCAAGTCCCTGGGTCACCTTTGATTCTCCTAGCCCATTCTAATGAGGCTTCTCTGGGGAACCTGTCACCCTGCACTACAGTGAGCTATGCAGTTGAAGGCTGTCTTGTGGGAGCAGCGCTGGCATGTCTGCGCCATAATTTGAGGCATCTTTCAGGTGCGACAGTTGTTGGCACTGTTGCAACCTCCTCCTCAAGTTGAAGGTCACTGCATGTGCTGAAGCCCCTGGAAAGGCCACGGGAGGGCACACCACCACCTGCATGCCCTCGGCACAGAAGGGACATGGACACCAAGAGAAGCTGGACACGACACGGTACCTTCAGGACCTTCCTGCCTGACGCTGTGGTCGCCTCCGGTCTTGGCTTTGCCGTGTGACAGGAGTGTCAACATGCGGGTTTTATAGACATTAGAGTTTTATACCCTGCGAGATCCTATTTTATAAATTTCAGTGACTGAGGCCATATTGGAACAGAGACATTCATAGAGATTAATAGCAGGAGAAGAGAGTCACGCTGGTTTGCAGAACAATAAATGTTTCTGAATATTGCCACAAGCAGGATCGCTACCCAGGACGGCCTCTCTGCTACAGAGAGTGAGAAACCGCCAGCATCACAAAAGGCAGGTAGGGGAGGGTGTTGCTCATTTGTACCTGTCGGTTAGCAGAGCCTGTTTTTACAGCAGAAGAAGGAGGTCACACACACTGAGAGAGCAGGCAGGGCTGGCCCCCACGGACAGGCCCTCACGTGTGCACCAGTGGGCAGTCGAATCAAACCTCAGCTGGGGAGAAGAGTGACCAACTCTCCCCAAGGGGCACAGAGAGTAGGAACGTCGCCTGAAATAGTAATTGCAGTGATGCAGGAGGAGCTGTGAAGACCCTCCAAACATTAGCACCTGAAGTTCTCACGGGACACTAAGTGAAGCCATCATTCAACAGGGTCTGGGCTGCCGTTTCATCTACAGCCACGTGGAACTCCTCAAATTGAAGTCCCAGCCTTGGAGAGGAGGGTGGCCTTCCAAGGTGAAGACGCCATTAAACTTTACTGGGAAACGTAAAAAACCATCTTCAGAAACTTGATTCAAAAACATCCCCCATGCGCTGTAGCAACGGGACCCTTGGGGTAGAGGGGATGCCTTACAGTCACGCAGCCAAGCACTCGGAGAGTCAAATGCAACAGGTGCACAAGGAATGCTAGCTGCACCCCCCAGCCATCGTCACCGAAACGGGGGGCATGAAGAGATCCAAGGGGGGTGTGGTGGCCATTCCTGCCACATCTCTCTCCTGACCATTTGGGATATTTACACGTGGCGGAAAACTTCCCGAGATCAGGGTACACGTTACAACAACGCGATCCACTACAAGCCAACAGGGGTGGCTTTTTAAGGAATAACAATGCAGTTTTGTGCAAAAAGCCACACGCTTGCCATCGCCTAGAAACGGAGGCTGTGCCCTCGGGCTGCGGCAGCCAGCCGCAGGAGCAGCAGGCAGTGGTGTGAACACGCTGGCTTTTCCCCTGTGAACAGGGATGAAAATAGTTTCGGAGATAGGCAGCACAGCAGGAGCAATTTTTAAAATGTGGGGGTCTGTCTGGCGGCGTCATTTCCCATCCCGTGATAGGACGGTCGCATTTGCTCTCCGTGATAAGATGGCGTTTTTTGAGCACGCGAGGGACTTGCGCACAGCTTTAGGGACGAGCCACTCCCACGTGGCAGCACACTCTCACTGGGCCCTGGGAGGGCTGATGAGATTGGGCACATTCCAGAGAGGCTCCGGAGGTTGTGCGAGTTCTTCCAGCAGGCCGTGTGGCCCTTCCCGCCTACTCGTAGGGTCCACGGTACGGCACGTGTGGCCTCAGCCGGGCCCACATCACACGCCGTGTGCGACTTCCTTGCTTACACTGGACAATCGTGGCTGGGGTGCCAGGCCTGAGCGTGGCACAACGGGGAAGGAAAAGTGCCCACCGTGATCCCGGGCGCCACAGTCTGCGCCGCCTGCCCTACGCGGCCGTGTGGCTGGCCCCTTCCTCCAAGAGGCCTCTCGCAGTCCGAGAGCCCATAAAAAGTGGGCTCTGGATGCGCAGGCGGAATGAGGACACAGCCGGCTCTGGCGAGACACGGCCCCAGGGCCATTAGCCACCCCTGGGAGGCCTCCCCACTCGGGTGGTTGCGTGTTGTGCCTCACCCTTGGAAACCCAGGGAGCCCAGCTTGGGCAACAGAGCCCAGCTTTACCCAGAGGGCAGCTCCCAGGGAGATGTGCTGGGATCCACCTCTTCCACGGCCGTCCTCCTGGAATGCAGGTGTCACGTGGGCAGGCCTTTTGGTCTGTTTTGTGTGCGGCCGGACTCTGGGCACCAGCCCCACGCTCGCCCCGAAAGGCCCAGCTGCTGAGGGAGGCCGAGGGCTCCAGGCGCCCTCGCCTTGTGCTTGCTGTGCTGACAAGAGGCTCAGGGGGTTGTGACTTACACCCACGAGGGCTGCTGGTGGTGTGTGGTCAGGGGTAGGTTCAGACCGCTTCCCGAGGCCTCTGGCACAGTGGTCTCGTCACAGATGTTTCCCCTCCTCCCCACCAAGCCTCACGGGCTGCCTCAGAAACACATTTCATCAAATGACACTCTGCCCCTGGAGTGCCGCGTGGCGCCCACCTGCCAGCCAGAGCTGGCCTGGTACCCACCTCCCCGAGAACTTACGGGATTGCTTCGCATGGCTCCTCCCACTGCCCGCGCTGCTTTGGGGTTGCCTGCCAGGGCTGCTAATTGCTGGTAAGAAACCATTTCTCCGAATTTCACAGCCTTCAGCAGCTTCCATAACACCTGTCTGGTGAACGACTCTGAAAGGAAGAATGCAGGATGACGTTATTTGGACAAACGGCTCCAGCAGCTCTGATAGAAATCGCGGCCAGTCCCGAAACAGAAAATGCATCGACACAAATAGAGGTGTTACGCTCAATGAAAACGTGGCCTCCACACGCCCAAACACCGTGTCGTCAGGCGAGGAGAGGCAAGTGTGACATGGGCCAGTGCCGGCTGGCCCCTCAGAGGGCATTCCCTGGCCTGGCGCCACAGATCGGCAACTGCTTTCCACGCCCCCAGGGTCCCCGTGGGGCTGGGTGTGCCATCCTTCCAGGGACTGGGCACACGTAAGTCAGTGCACGGCTCAATTAATACGCACAGAAGTCCCTGCCTGCCCACCTACTTGGAAACCTTTTGTGCTGCGGGTTAATTTCCGACTTCAGCTGGGACAAAGGAGGAGAACGCAGCCACGGGCCAGGCTGCGATATCCCGCTAGCCGTCCACATCCAGCTGCGCACAGGACTCCCCCAGCGACTGCTCAATGCCACACACCACAGCACGCAGGGGCTGGCAGTGACCTTGGCTACCGGCATCTTGAATGAATAGGGTTGTGAAAATAAAATAACTTTATTCCCATTTTAATTGACTGAACACACTAAATCGTATTTGCTCGGCATCCTGCTGCAGAAATGAACAGAAATGAACAGGTGAATGCATGAGAACGCCCTCTCCCTCTGACTCCAGGCTCTGGAGTTGCTTCCTCGGTGTGGAGACTGCAGGAGAGACACCTAGCACGCCAAGGAGGCTGGTCTAAATCGACACCGATTGTCTTTCCAAAGGGGACACGCGGCTCGGGAGCACCGGAGACGGAGCCACGTCCTCCATCACGGGGCCCCGGACCCTCCGGGGCAGGAGTTTCTGAACGGCCACAACAAAGGGAAGGGTCCCGCGGGCAGCCGCATGTTCCAAGAATGTCCACCATGACACTCATTACACTTGGTGCCAAGCTGGCAAAGTGTGATTTGGTTCTTAAAGGAAACACACCCTTACATGCGTGTTAAATAATAAAACTCGTCTCTTGACTGAAGGGAACGATAATCACTTCACTGGGAAAAAAAATCTGCTTAGTCTTTATTATAACATTAAGCAAATTAAACATCAGCATAATCCAGGTGATACTAGAAAAGGGTCATCAAAGAAATTAACTTTGTTGTTCATTAATTTACATGGATTAGTAGAGGGCAAAAAGATAGCAAATGTGCTCTAGTTTTTTATGATATAATTTCAAACTGTACACCATTTGTGGCAGGAGGGTGACTTTGGGGTTAATCAGACTGATTTGTCCTTTTAATTGCTTTCTATTCAAAGAAAATTCATTAGATAATGTTCTCTTCAAAATTCATGAATCAATTTAACTGAAGAAACCACATTACCAGCTTTGGGTTCATTAGCACATGCAGTTGTGTTACTGGCTGATTGCTGGGGGGGGGGTTTCCTTAGGCAAACACACTCTGTTTACTGTCATTTCTTCCGAAAGGGTTTTGAAATCAAACTGTTAATCATTATTACTGTTGCTGTTGTTGTTCTGCCCAACTTTAAAAAAACACAAAAGCAAAGCGAGGTAGCCTGGTGTTGACTTGGAGGAAAAGAGATTTCAGGGACGGCTGTCTCAGAAAAGAAGTAATAAAAGCAGTCATCAATACTGCAAGGAGCAGAGGCCAATTTCCTGTCTTCCTCAGAGAGCTCAGCGTCGGTGGTTTTGTTTTCCACGCTTTGACCCAGGGAGAGGATGCGGCCGAGGTTTTCTGGGAGAACAGCCTGGAACTTTATGAAACCTGTAGGAATAAAACGAGGAGGAGTGCGCAAACCTAACTGGAGCACAGAGCAGTTCCGAGAAACAATGGCACTGTTCCAACGGCCTCATATGAGCGCCAGCCTCGAGTGCTGCTCTGACAAATTACTGCCAAATTACGGAGCACCTTTCTTTCCAAGTGTAAAAGTATCGTATAATAAAACAATTATACGTCCATATATGACTGCAGAATTTATCAAACATGTTCAGCTTCACTGTCAGTTTTTCATGGGAAGCCATTTCTGAACTGGTATGTCCCAGGCAATATAGGAGGAAATACAGCTCAAAGAATGCAATATTTAGCAATCAAGCACATCGTTTCACAAATGTCTCTAAAACTCAATTTCACCATGTAGGGAGCAAATACAGTAATTAGTTTAAGCAGCTCTCAAAGACAGTGCCTTTAACCGTGCACTGCACAAAATCACATGGCTCAACTGGCACCCGTTTCTGAAGAGGGGGCCGACATTTTCTGTCATTAAGTATCGTTCTAAAATGCAGTAAAACGCACTCCCAAAAATTAACACGAAGAAAATGCAAATTCTTGAGGTTGAGGCGACCACGTCGGTCCTCAGCAGCTGGCCCAATCATTTCAGGTGGCCTGCAGGGGCAGCCACTGGAACACCATCCTACCCCTTCGTGTCATGGTCCTCTGCTGAAAGCAGGATGAAGACCGCCGGGGCTCTGTAAACGGCCTCTGAAAGTCACTTCTGGATGTTCCTTCCCCCCCCCCAGCTTTCTTTCCAAACTCATCCTTCCTCTTATCTGTTCTGGGGTCATGGGCTGTGTTTACCTGGTCAGGGTCAAGACAGACCCTGCTTCTTAGCGGTCCCAAATCCTAAGGACGTGACTGTTTTCATTTTGGCTTGAGCCGCCATTTAACCCCTCCACTGTGACCGCCGGACCCAAAGAAGACTGCTTGCTAAATTCTCTCTGCCTGGGTCCAATATCCTCAGAGCAGACGTGTTTTCTAATCGGCCGCAGAAGAGGCTGCTTTGTGTCATCACACCAGGTTTGCGTGCCACGTCATGAGAGGAGAGATCAGAGCTCTGAGTAGGGCCAGCCTGCACGCGTGGACCATCGCAGCCAGGCCCGGCTGGGGTAAGGAAGACGCCACACCCCAGCAGCATGGACGGAGCCTGGTGGGGACCAGGCTCGTCTTAGACGACTCATTTCCTTCACCTGGGCTTCTGCCTCTCCTCTAGGGCAAATATCACTGTCAGAGCTACTTTGGAAACATGTCTGCGTCTTGCGACACGCGGCCTGGCTCGGAGCACAGCTCGTCACGGCACAGCTTGCCCAGGAGCCCGCTCTCTTGAGATCAGGTTTCAGACTCCAGCACCAAGCGTCTCTTGCCCAAAAGTCACTTCCAAGTTCTTGGGCAAGAGTCTCCTCTCCCTCCACCACCCCCGGCTTGGTGGGGGCCTTTGGTGAGGGGGGTAGTTTCCCCAGCGGGAGCCACGCGTCAGCAGCCCAGGCCATGAGGCCTTCCTTGGCCAGGCTGCAGCTGGTGGTGGGGAGGACAGTCAGGCCCAGATCCACAGGTGCTACCTGTGGGGCTGTGCCTGGGGAGCGTCTCTAGCTGTGCTGTGGACTTGGCCTGCCACGTCCCTGGCAACAAAGAGCGGTGGGTGCCCAGCTCTGGCGGGATTTCCCTGCCGGAGCAACAAGCAGCCTGGAATGGGTGCCCCAAAAGTTCGGGTGTTGTAAACTTCACTGCCATTGTAGCAGTATTAAGAGGTGAGCCCTTTAAGAGGTGATCAGGCCACGCGAACTCTACCCTCATGAACAGATGAATGTGTCACTGTGGGGGGTGTTGGTTCTGGAGGGACTTCGGCCCCCTTTTCCTTTCTTGCATGCCCACCTGCCATGGGATGCCCTTTGCCATGGGACGACCCCTGCCAGATACCAGCATCAGGCTCTTGGACTTCTCAGTTTTCAGAACTGTGAGCCAAATGAACTGTTCTATATAAATGACCCAGGCTGTGGTGGCATTCTGTTACAGCTGTGAAAAATGAAGAAAGACACCTATGCTCAGAGGAAGCGGAGAATCACCCCTTTTGGGTATGATCTCTGAGCCCTGGGACCCGGACCCCTCCCTCAGCAGTCCTGTGGCGAGGGGTGATGAAAACAGAGCCCACAGAAACCTCACCCTCTGAGGAGGAGGCAGCGTCTTTCTGAGAGGAGAGGTGTGGGCCTCCCAAGAAGGGGACAAACCTTTTGCTTTTTTCTCTCTTTGTCCTCCTGACGCTGGGCCTGTGACTGAGGTTCAGTCATACGAAGGATGTAGCAGAGGGGGGTATGGTCTCAGCTTTGACCAAGGACTGAAATGGGAGCCCTAATGACTGAAAAGTACCAGGAAGATAGTGGAGAAAGAGGAGTTTGGGAAAGAGAAGCAAAAGGTTGTTTATAAATTCCTGGAATCACCCATCCAGGTGAGCTTTCCACTTGCCCATCTGTGTACATGCAGATCTGACTCCAAACCACAGACCTTGAGCAGGGACGTAAGGGTGAGACGCAGCCAGCTCCAAAACTGGCTGGCGAGTGGTGCACGAGGGGACAGGTCTGAAGAGAAAGGCTCTGGAAATGGAAGGAACCATGAAAATCACAGCCCACAGAAGGCTGGTCAGCATTTACGGACTAAATCCAACCAGGCCGATTGTCTCCTAAAACAAAAACACCAGCATCAGCTGTAGGATTTATATAAGACACAGAGTCTCTTAGCATAATATTCAAAATAATCAGAATACAATTCAAAATTACTAAGCATGCAAATAGTCAGATAAATCTCAACTCATCTGGGAAAAGATAATCAACACCTGCCAAGGCTGAGATGATAAAGGACCCAGAAGCTGAAATCATCTGACAAGAACTTGATTTCATTTTCATTTTAATATTTTTGACTTAGAGTCTCACTCAAGGCACCCAGGCTGGAGTGCTATGGCATGATCATGACACACTGCCGCCTTGACTTCCTGGGCTCAGGCAATCCTTTCACCTCAGCCTCCTGAGTAGCTGGGACTACAGGGACATGCCATCAGACCTGGCTAATTTTTTGATTTTTTAAGCAGTCCTCTCACCTTGGCCTCCAAGAGTGCTGAGATTATAGGTGTGAGCTACTGCACCCAACATAAAAGCTTCAAAAGATTAGAACAATGCTGAGAGAAGGGAAAACACTCTTGAAAC